AGTTTTTTGAGGATCTTGGAAATAACACTTTTAGGTTAGGGATGCCTTTAGAGCCATTCTGCTTTATTCCATCACAGGTGAGCCCATTGCTTGTGTTTGGGCCACCAGCACTCCACGAGTCTCCCAAGACACCGTAAGTCAGGGGTGACAGGATCCCCAGGGGGAGCCGCATGGGCGCCCATATGTGGTGGTCCCACGCTCCCTTCCTCCATGACTTCTGTTTCTTGTCCACCTGGAGTGCCCACCTGCTGCCCCCTCCTGTCCCTGTTGGCTGTGGCGGATTAAGCGTTTTCTTCAGGTTTACTATAAAAATGTATACACTTCCTCTGAACTTAGGTCAGAGAATGACTGACTTTTAAGAGTTCTATTTTTCTGTTTATTTTGCTTTAAACTTTCAGGAAAAATTAGAAGGAAGTGACCTCCTATATTCCACAAATGAATCTCTGGCTCCGCATCTGGAAGCTCCAGCCCAGCGGAGGCCCTTGGAGACTGTCTGCCCTAATGGCCCATATTGTGGGTATGCTCTGCAGTCCTGGGGGGAAGCAGAGATGTCAGGCCTACTTTGCATGCATCACATGCATGTTCATGCTGCACACAGATGGAGGGACAGTGCCAGTGTCTCAGAGAAAGGTGAGCTGTTGGTGCTTACATCCTGTTTACTGAGTGGATTATTAGCTCCTTAGGATCTACTAGAGGGTCTTGTAGAGGTTGCAAGTTTTGATCCAATGGCCTGGATGTGTTTGGTGCCCACGGCGTTTAGCAAGATGGGCTTTCTTATTCATTCAATATTCAGCACATATTTATTGAGGACTTATTCAATGCACACTAAACCGTTTAAAGAACTGTAAACCATTTTTGTTTTCCCCATTAAAAAAGGTAAGGAAAACACATAAAATCGCTCAAAGAAGGTTCCAAGTCAGGGACAACATTATCTTTCTCAGGTCTGTTCAGAGCTTGCCCACCTGACTTCCTTTAGGGCCAGCGCTCAACGGGAAGGTTGTCAGCAGGGCTAGGCAGCTGCATGGGCAGAGCCGTGGCGACCTGCTTTCCCCGCCGCCTTCCCTGTGGTCTCCTTCACTTCCACCAGCAATGATTTTAGAGTGAATAATGACAAGAAGGAGGATGGGCAGTGGTGACATGAGAAGGAAGAAGGAGAGGGAGCCTTTTGGAATGAAAAAAACATTCCGATTCTTGCCCTGGTGGTGCTTGCCTCGGTGTGCTCAGATTCACCAAGCGGTATACTGAGGCATGGTGTCCTGTGTGTGCGGCTTAGTTCAGTTTAAAACCTTTTTTTTCTGACTTTTGAACAAAATACAAAATTCTAATTGTGGTAAAATACATGTAACATAGGAAGCAACCTAAGCATCCATCAGTAGATGAATGGATAAAGAAGATGTGGTACATATACACAATGGAATATTACTCAGCCGTAAGGAGAAAACAAATCCTACCATTTGCAACAACATGGATGGAGCTAGAGGGTATTATGCTCAGTGAAATAAACCAGGCAGAAAAAGACAGGTACCAAATTATTTCACTCACATGTAGAGTATAAGAACAAAGAAAAAAACTGAAGGAACAAAACAGCAGCAGATTCACAGAACCCAAGACTGGACTAACAGTTATCAAAGGGAAAGGGACTGGGGAGGATGAGTGGAAAGGGAGGGAGAAGGGGATTAAGGGGCATTATGATTAGCATGTATAATGCAGGGGGGTCACAGGGAGGGCTGTACAACACAGAGAAGACGAGTAGTGGCTCTACAGCATCTTACTATACTGATGGACAGTGACTGTAATGGGGTTTGTTGGGGGGACTTGATAATGAGAGGAATCTAGTAACCACAATGGTGCTCATGTGAAACCTAAGCATAAGATTGTATATCAATGATACCTTAGTAAAAAAATAGAAATAAAAATAAAATAAAATAACACTCCTAATCCTAAGAAGAAAAAAATTCATATAACAGAGAATTTACCATCTTAGCTATGTCAAAGGGCAGAGCTGTAGCATTAATATGTCATGCCATTGTGCGACCATCTCACCACCCATCTCCAGGACTTCCTTATCTCACAAAACCAAAACGGCTCAGATTTCCAGCCCCTGCCCTCCCTCCCCCAGCCCTTCTACTCCCTGTCTGTGAACCTGACTCCTTCCAGGCCACACATAAGAGGGGTCAGCAGTATTTGTCCTTTGGTGACTGGCATATTTGCATAGCATATTATTCTCATGGTTCCTCCATGTGACAGCATGCCACAGGATTTCTTCCCTCTTTAGGGCTAAATAATGTTCCATTGTCCATATAAGACCATTTTGTTTTAAAATAAAGGTAAAAAGGAAAGCTGTGTGGGCAGCTGTGGGTTGTTTTCTGTATTTACACTGCAGCTTAGTTAAGCCCTACCGTGGGTCAGGCCTACACAGGCATTTTCTGTCCATTCTGATTTACTCCTCACAACTTTGTCTCTGTTTTTCAGATAAGAAATTCACCTACAAAGTCAAAGAGGTGAAGCAACTTCCCTGAAGCTGCATGGATGGAAAGGAGGGTGTAGAGCTCAGACCCTGTTTGTGGGCCTGAGTACCTGGGCTGAGGCTGGGACCCCTGCCTTACAGGATAGGATGCCATTAATTTGCAGGGCACAAAGATGGAGGCATCACTGCTGGGTACACGCACTACACTGCAGAGACCTCTGCCACCTAGGGCCTGCTCTGGCTGTCCTCATGTCCGCTCCCGGCCCAGGGTCTCTCCTGTCCCGCAACACTGGGTGCCCTGAGCCAGGGTGGGGATGCCCCTCAGTGCCACCTGTGCACAGGCCTTCCAGCAGTGAGGCTTCTGTGCACAGGCCCCACTTCTCTCCAAAGCAGCTGGCTTCTGTCCTTGCAGTGGGAAGTGTGGGACTTCTCACCCATTCATGTTTTGTGGGGTTGAGTTGGAATGCTGGATTTCCTTAGAGCCTGGAAGCACCCAGGCCGGCTTGTGTTTGTTACGCTGCATCCTTGCAAGGCAGCCCCAAAGCCCAGTAATGAAGCAGGAATAGATAAGTAGGAACTGCCTTCTGATTAAGTACTTGGGAGTTGGACACATCATAGGCATTCCCAAGTGCATAAACACAAAGACAGAAATGTATAACTATTTACATTATATACAGAAAAGTCTTCTCCAAGAACGATAAACTACAGGCTTGCTGGCAAAAGAGAGCTCTCCACTCCTTAAACCCACCGGAGCTTAGCAGTATTCTGGATGGAGGACTTAAGGGGACGTTCAAGAAGATTGACAATTACAATACTTTTTCTTCAGGAGAACACATAGCAAGAGAGCAATGCTAGAAGAACCCTTGGAAGACACAGGTTTAAGTTAGCCAGTGCCTGTGGAAAGAGAACAGCCATTACAGTAATTTCTCAAGCTTCTTTTGTAGGAAAGAAGTTTCTGCTTCTTATTATACCTAAAATAATAAAAATTGTTATTTTGAAAACCTGCTCAGGAATTCTATCAATAAAAACAATTCGCCAACTACAGAACTAGTGATTTAAATTTAAGGCCACTCTTTATTACTTATCCTATACAATGTTTACTTTCAGTTGCAATTTAGTCAAGGAAAGATAACTGTTGTAGCACAAAAATTATGTTTTAGTAAGAGTTTTGTATATATTATGGTCTAAGTTAACATTTACCTACAAAACATCTTCAAATACAGTACTAGAAACAGTTCATCGCTTTTAGTGTTTCTTAAATTCTTGACTGGCCATAGGCAGTGTTGCTCTGACATTCTACAATGTAAAAGGGAGAAAAAAATCTTTTGGGTAAGAATAAGTCTTAGAGTGAGTAAAGCTAACCTTTGCAGTGTAATATATAAAGTTAAAAAGAGAAATATGTTTCTCAACTTGAATGTACAATGTCCACAAGTTATACTGTATTTAAAAGTTAGAGATTGTCTTGAACTCCCTGGAGGTGGGGGTGGGGTATTGGTGGGATTTTTGATCTTTACAAAAACATTTACCCTTTGAAATCCTGTAGTACTCTTAGGAATTTGTTTTGGTGGAGATGCATAAATCACGTTACAAATATCTGAAGAAAAAGCTCAGAAGAAAATATTTCAGAAAAAGGACCTTATTCAATAATATTGAAGAATTAAATGAAGTATTAATAGGAAAAAAAAAAAAAGCCTGAACTGGAAAAAGACCTAAATCTCATTCATTTTTTTAAAAGGCTATTTGAATTGTATTCATAGGTCTCATCTTCTTTTAGGTATTATTGTGAAAGAAATCCATGCTCTAGCTACTTAAAGATCAAAGCAAGCCAGGATATATCAGAAGTATTCTGGCTTACTCTTTTTCCCTTTTTCTTTTCTTTTTAAAGATAAGTACCTTTTTTTTTGTTAATTTCATGGGGGAAAAAAGAATAACTCAAAGTTTACAAAGGAGAAAGGGAGTGATTATGTAAGTAATGCTTTAGAATTTAAAGAAATGGATGTGGGACTATAAATGCAGTCCTGCTCTAGGCTTTGGGACGGTCATAGACTTGTGTCATGCCAACTGGATGACTGGGCTTCTGAGAACAGGGACAGAAGAAAGTAATTGTTTTGTATACTGTAGATTAAGAAATGTGTGTAAATATAATAGGTATGGCACTGGAGTTTTACAATAAGCTTAGGGATATAAAATTTTTCCTATTAAATCAAGGGAAAAATAGTTTCAGTGAAATTTCCAAATAATTGACAGGCTAGAAAAAAATATATTTGGAATCTTGACCACAGGGAGAGGTGATTTCTTGTTTTTATTTATTGCACACATTAATGCTTAAAGTGATTGGTTAAATAGAAAGCAACCTTTCACACTGCCCACACCCCTGTATTGGAGAAGGACCCTGGTCATGGATACATACAAGAGCCACATATGTAAGCTTGCAGAGCAGCACTCCCTGTGGGTGACGAACAGGGTGAGGGTCTGAAACCAGTATGTGCGCTGACACAGGACATAAAAGCCAGGCTTTTATTTACACTATAAATAATTTTTCTGGTGATAGTAGCAAACTTTTAGCCTCCCATCCAAAAACCTCACAACTTCAAGTGTTTGAAATGTACTTAAAATTTCCCTGTTTTTATTTTATCTAGTATGTTCTTATAGTAATTAGCCAACCCATTAGGTAGGAGAATTTCTTTTAAAAGAAATTTCAAATCTTCAGTAGTATGTGGTGAGACAAATCAACATTCTCTTGGTCAGTATCATTGTAATAGTCTTTCATTTCTCCTTAAAAACAGAAGATGGGGGCAGATAGGCACGCCTGTAACAAATCAGACCAAAGCAGAAGATACCACTTAAAAACTAAACACCCAAGGCATACCTGCCACACTTGTATCTCAATTTCCTCAGTTGTTTAAAATACCGTAAGTGTTGCTGCATTTCCAGTGGCTTTCCTACCAGCTACGTCTGGCTCTCGTGCTGAGCCCCCCGCCTCTGGAGGGCAGCTGCCCACCGTCACTGTCACGAAGCCTGCAGTGTGATATCCTGGGCTTCACACGCAATTCCAGAAACCCAGATGACACTCTATGGACTAGCTCTAAATCTTTTTTTAGTCCAGTTTGGCAAATATCCCAAGTGAAATTCAACTCTAAGTTAAAAGTATCAAACAGAGATAGGGCTAAGTGCGTCTATGACTTTCTGGACCGCCCAGAGGTCCTGGAGAGCTCAGGAACGGAAAGCCTACTTGCCCCCGAACTGCGGCGACGGCAGACACTAGCCGCCTCACGCACCAGCACCGCTAGCGCGGCCCAGGTTCCGGGCTCCCGGCCGCTGTGAACCGGGGCCGCTGCGCCCGCGCTGCCCGCCGCACGTGGGAGGCGCCAACCCGCCCGCTGCCCCGCTCCACCCCGCGCGATGCCGCGGCCACCCTGCGGGTCCCCCTCCTCCCGCTCCCGGGCTCGCTCTCTCCCCAGAGGCCTCTCTACCTGCTGATTTCAACTGCACTTTGTTGCTAGAAAAACGGTTATTACAACGCTGTCTGGAGACCAACCCTAGACGGCCAAGTCCGTCGGTCTGGCCCGACCGCCGCTGGCCCCGCTGGCCCGCCCGGGGTCTGCGAGGGGCAAAGCGGGCGAGCTGGTCGCCGTCGAGGCGGGAGTCCCGTCCAGACTGCGGCCGGTCCGGGCTCCCGGAGGGGCGGGCTCGGGGCCTCCGGCCGCGCCCCCCTTGGGTCGCTGCGGGCCGCTGCCTGCCGGGCTCGGGGACGCCGAGGCGGACGCCCGCTGCTCGGCCTCCGGGTCGGCCCAGTTCTGCTCAGCCATTAGCAGGTGGTAGGACGGGGCCGGGGGGCCCTCGTCTTGCGCTGCGGGCGTAGAGGCCCCCGCACAGCCCGAGGCCGTTGCCTGCCCCAGCGAGGGGGGGCGCCGAGGGTAGAGGGGCGGGAACTCGACGGGGACGGCGGGCGCGGCGCAGGGCGGCGGCGGGAGGAGGGGGCTCCCGCCGCCGGGCTTTGCGGCCCCCGCCCTGGGCTCTGGGGTGTCCGCGCCGCGGTGGCTGGTCACTCCCTGCTTAAGCTTCTTCCAGCCCAGGTGGTAGATCTCCAGCATGTTGAGCAGGAGGGACAGGCAGGCCACGGCCAGCATGAAGACGATGAAGATGGTCTTCTCAGTGGGCCGCGAGATGAAGCAGTCCACCGTGTTGGGGCAGGGCCAGCGATCACAGCGGTACAGCGGCTTCAGCTCGAGGCCGTACAGGAGGTACTGGCCGGCGATGAAGCCCACCTCCAGCAGCGTCCTGAAGATGACGTTGAACACGTAGGTGCGCAGCAGGGCCCCGGCCAGGCGCACCTTGCGGCGGTCGGCGCGCCCTGGCAGGTCCGGATCGCGGCTCGGCGGCGCCTGCTCCCCGTCCTTCTTCTTTTCGTCTACGCGCACGAGGTGCAGCACGTGGCCCAGGTAGACGAGGGTGGGTGTGGACACGAAGACGATCTGCAGCACCCAGAAGCGGATGTGGGAGATGGGGAAGGCCCTGTCGTAGCACACGTTCTCGCAGCCCGGCTGCTGCGTGTTGCACGTGAAGTCCGACTGCTCGTCCCCCCACACCTCCTCGGCCGCCGCGCCCAGCACCAGGATGCGGAAGATGAACAGCACGGTCAGCCACACTTTGCCGATGACCGTGGAGTGCTCTTGGGCATTCTCTAGCAGTCTCCCCAGGAAGCTCCAGTCGCCCATCGCTCCAGATGACCCACCTGTAAGGGAACACTGCTGGTTAACAGGCAGGTGGGACGGGGGCGCCGTCCAGGCGGTGTGGGGGACGGCCACGTCCAAGCGAGCGAGGCGCTGGCCAGCTCTCCGCGGGGATGTGTGTGCGTGGGCAGATGTCTCTCCAAACCCCGGGCCAAGCAGAGTTAAATAAACATCCACATTACACAGGCGAGGGCCCGCAGGCGAGGTGACTGCAGGCTGTCTAACCTGTTGCTTCGGAGCTCCAAGGAGAAATGACCTGCCTCAGCAACCCTTCCCCGGCACCCTCTCCCACCCTTGTCTCCCGAAGCATGGTCTCCGTGGGGGCTCTGGGCCTGTGCACACAGCACTGCACCTCCCAACCCAAGGCTTGCTTCTCTGGTTTGATCAGGGCACCTCTCTCCAGGTGCCCTTCCCAATTCCTGCCACACGGACCCTCTGCTCTGCTATTACGAACTATGTCTCACTTTGCAAATGTTCCGTCAGTGGCTAACTAGCTGCATGTCCCCAAGCAGCGGGCGGTGCCCCCTTCTGTGAGGCAGGGATGATGGTCGTACTGTCCAACGCAGTGACCTGCTTCTGGGATGGAGGCCGGTAAGACCTCGGGCCCTCCTTGTGAAGGCAGCCAAGTCCCTCAGAGGCAGGGGACCAAGGTTAGAAGGTGTCTCCCACGTCAGATGGCCAGGCGCTTCTGAGAACTAAAGGCGCTGCTGTCCACTGCCGCTCTCTGCTGCAAGAAAAGCTCTGTAAACTACATGTATATATACAAGTCTCCTGAGGAAGGCAGGCAAGCTCTTTTCATTAAAATTTTAAAAATGTTTAAAAATATTAATTTGTATGAATTGGTTCAAAGGCAAAACTTTACTATGATCTAAAGAAATAGACAAATGTTAACCCTCTGTCACAATAAACACTTGACTTTGTTTTGATCTTTTGAGCTCTTTAGAGAAATCTGACTATTCATGTATCCTACCAGCTTTCTTGCCCCATATTGTGACTGATGTCTTCTATTTTGTATGTTCTTAGAAGGTAAAATGCTTCAATTTAGAAACTTACTGAGTACGACACAACCCACTCTCCCATAAAAGATGTCAGGTGTCAGGGAACCATTCTAGGTTATGACCTGCTTCTCTGAGATTTTGATTCTAATTCTTATAAGGACTCCACAGCCATCCTTCTGGGCTTGGAAGGACACTCACCTCAACCCTAGACTGTCACTCAGCCCCTAACTGGCGTCTCTCCCCAGCCCTAACCCCTCGCTACCCTTTGCTGGAGATCTACACCTGGGCACCACCCCTCGGTCCGGGTCCAGCACTGTGGGGAGACCAAACTTTCTGGGGTCTCTGAAATTCTACCATTATACCTCTCCATATGCTATTTCTTCAGCTTCAAACTCAGCCCCAATCCAGGACTGGCCTGCTGGCCTGTCACTGCCTTCAAGGGTGGCCAACTCAGGCTGAACCAGGTGTCCTGTGTCCTCTTTTCCTGTCACTGCCCAGTTTTAGTGGTTGGCTGTCACTGCCCTTTATGTTCCAGGAGGTGCTCTCCATCCCCCCGCCACACCCCACCTGCTAAGCTTCAAAGAGCATCCCCTCTCTCTCCTGCCGGGACAAGCACAGCCCTCTGGGTTTCCACAGAAGGCCACCCTGTCCACTGGTGGACGGTCTCTTCAATTCTAGTTCTGAGGTTGAGGCTTGCATGTGCAGTCGTTCCTTCTTGATGTCTGCAGGCAGAACAGCCGAGCAGTGCGTGTTTCTGGGTGTCTCTAAGGAAAATCAGTGTGGAGAAGTCAATGCTTTCTCCTGCCTCACTGCACGTGTTCAGGCAGTTCTGCCTTGCTGAGCACAGTATAGCGTGTTTGCTAAAAGGCAGTCAGTGCCACATGCTGGAACCAAGGGCCTGGGAGGCTCTCCACACATGCTGGTGGCACATAGTGGTGTGAAGGGGGGCAATTCTGCTTGTCACAGAGACTGGACAGTGTTGCTGGCATTTGCCTGGGGGGGACTGGGAGGTAAAATGTCCACAGTAATGGGGCTGCCTATTGCCCCACATACCCGTTGTGCACATCTTGAGAAACGGGGCTGGAAAAGTATTTATCAGTTAGCGAATCAGACGGCAGATAGGCAACCTATCCTGGCATCTATTCTTTGCTGGCTCAGCCTCTCCAGGGTCTCTATGTCCACGTGCTGCAACACTTTAAAATATGTCTCCTTAAAGTTCCATCATGACCTCTGCGTGTAACCACAGAATTATAACGTGTCATCATCTGCAGAGTTATTAGCTGGTACTCAGGCAGCTGCCATGGCTCAGTAAGTCCTAAGGATGGGACTTAAAGATATGTCCTGAAGAGGGTGTCTGAAGGGAGCACCATCTCTCATATGACTGGTAGCAAGAGATGTAAATGTAATGATACCTCTGATTCTACTTCTAGGATGTCATACGAAGACAATAATCACAGATTTTGACAAACGGATGTACATGGTGTTTACTGTAATGTTTCTTATAAGAAAGAATAATTGGAAGCAGAAGTGCCCACTAAGGGATGAGCTGTTAAATAAATGACAAGTGGTTGTCCGTGGCTGACATCATGATCGGGCTTCTCTGGCTCCTACTGCCGGTCCTCCTCTCTCCTGCCTGCCTCTAATGCGACCAGGAAGGGGAATTCTTGCTTTCCCATCTCCTCCTGTGGCTGGAGGTGGCTATAAAGGGCAGTTCTATCCAATGAGGTGTAAGAAGCGCCTAGAGGAACTCCGGGAATGCCTGTGATTTCCTAATACAAAGGCAGATGCTCCCTGGGCAGCCCTTCCCTCCTTTTCTCCACACTGAGTACAGATGTGATGCATGCACCTGGGCAGCCATCCTGCAAGCATGTGAGTGAGAGGGAAGGGTCAAGAAAGTCCCAAGGCACCTGCTGTGACACTGTGCACCTGCTGAATCACCCCCAGCAGCCACCTCCAGACTTACACGAGGACAAAAACCCTATTTGTGTGACTTAAATTTTCTTCTACTTGCAGACAAAATAATTTCTAACTGATACCCTATCACAAATTCTTTATAGAACAAGGCCAAGTATAAATGAGAAGCTATGGTCCATTCATAACTACTAAAATATACAGTATTCTTTAGATAGAAGTCTAAGAACATTAATGAAGTAATATTCATGCTGTAATGATAAATTACAAAAGCCTAATGCAAAGCTGTAGTCTGATAGCAAGGATGATATTGAAATGTTAGCCACAGTGTTTCTGGGAACTGGGTGGTTTTTCTTGTCTTTTCATATTTCTTTGCATTTCCTAGAGCAACCTATTCTATTTATCATCAATTTGATTTTTTGAAGTTCTAGTTTTTGAAAAAGTTTGATTCCTTTTTCAGTGTTCTTTCATCATAGTTTCTATTGCTTAGATCTCTTTAATCATGTTTCTAAAAAGCACACAAGAGGCCAATGTATATATGTTATTAGCCCAATATTAGGGAATAATGATCCTGGGGTTGCTGAGGACCACCACGAACCCTGAAGGAGGTTATCCCTGAGGACACGGAGCTTGAATTGGATTCCATCTCTTGCCATGGCAGCCTACAAGCTTGCCCCAAAGACCCTGCTTGCTGTTGGTCTCTCGCTGCTCATTGCGGAGCCTTACTGGTATACTTCTTGGTTTTGTTTTTGTTTCAGAGAATGCACGCATGAATAAAAAAATTAACTGGAGGATTTAATATCTTTTGGAAGGCTGGCAATATGGGTCAAGGTCCAATCAAGTTGGGAACCTTCCAAGTAGAAGTGAAATCCTCCTCCTCATCACTGTCAGAAGTTAGTCTGCCCCAGATGGCATGCAGAAGTTCTTGAGGCATTTTATCATTGTTACTGTTTAATCATGCCCCTAATGCCACTTAAATAAGAAAAGAACTGCAGAGGAGCCAAGCTTTGTGAGCTAAGTAAATACAGAAAATGGGCGACAGTGGAAACTCCAGGGTCTGATGAGGGCTGAGGTCAGGTGAGATGGTCTTAAGTTAGCCAATGAAATATTCTGAGTACTGCTTGACAGAGGAACACAAGGGTTTATTCTCACCACCAGTGAGAATAACAAAGCTGGAGAAACCTCTGCGAGCTCCCGGGTGACAGCTCGCCTTTATAAGTGTGTAGGTTCCACCAGCGCGGTGCCGCATGCCCCGTCAGTGAGCACTTTCTAGAAAGGGTGGTGTGCACTTCGCTCGGATTATGGGACAGTCATTATCTCCATGCGATGGCAATTGTTCTTCATTTTTATCTCAATGAAAACTTTGATTCTGACACTACTGCAGAACAAGGTCTTATATTTCAAGGTTTATGTGGCTTCTGTCATGTTCTGTGCTCTCACATTCTTTGAACAGTTCTATTTCTTTTCCAAAGTTACATAGTTTTCGGGGTATGTTGAGTTTCCCTTCAGGCCAATCAATAGTTACTTACTGAGAGCCCATCTGTGCTCAGCTCTGGCGCACAGGTCGGGTGGGGCACAGGAGAAGGGCAAACACAGTCTATCTGGTGGTTTATTTGTGGACATGGAAGTTAGCGAATCAGACGGCAGATAGGCAACCTATCCTGGCATCTATTCTTTGCTGGCTCAGCCTCTCCAGGGTCTCTATGTCCACGTGCTGCAACACTTTAAAATATGTCTCCTTAAAGTTCCATCATGACCTCTGCGTGTAACCACAGAATTATAACGTGTCATCATCTGCAGAGTTATTAGCTGGTACTCAGGCAGCTGCCATGGCTCAGTAAGTCCTAAGGATGGGACTTAAAGATATGTCCTGAAGAGGGTGTCTGAAGGGAGCACCATCTCTCATATGACTGGTAGCAAGAGATGTAAATGTAATGATACCTCTGATTCTACTTCTAGGATGTCATACGAAGACAATAATCACAGATTTTGACAAACGGATGTACATGGTGTTTACTGTAATGTTTCTTATAAGAAAGAATAATTGGAAGCAGAAGTGCCCACTAAGGGATGAGCTGTTAAATAAATGACAA